GAGAAAACACGATGTGTGTCTGATACACAGAGGAGCTTGGTAGCAAGTTCTCAAAGTATGAACAAATTCACTGTCCTTTTAACCAAATTCAAGCAGAAATTCACGCCCAACCTGAATTAATTTTTTTTTGCACTTTGCTAGTTAAAACAAAAGACAGGAAAACACAGCCAGATTCAATTCTAATCAACTCAATGTAAATAATAGGAGCGCATCCTTGTGTCGCTCCCTCTTTGAACTATCCGCTGCCCGACGAACAAAATAACACTCCCTGTAACAATAAATCCATAGCACTTACAGTACAATAAAATAAAATTCTTAGCTCTTTGTGAACTCTTGAAAAATTCAAACATGACAATTTAATTCACACAGTAACATTTAATAATTTAGTTGATTCACGTTTTCATGTCTTCACACCTCTCCTGGCGTCAGTGACCCAAGGACTTCCATGTGGTCCTCTGTAGCTCAGCTGGTAGAGCACGGCGCTTGTAACGCCAAGGTAGAGGGTTCGATCCCCGGGACCACCCATACACAAAAAATGTATGCACGCACGACTGTAAGTCGCTTTGGATAAAAGCGTCTGCTAAATGGCATATTATATTATATTTATATTATTATACATGAGAATGTCTGTTCTTAGAGATCGCCACAGATAAGGTATGTTTGAACCTTGTGATAGCCCACAGATGGTCTGCCATCCAGACAATGTAATAAATCGTGATTGAGTCATCATGCTGGGCCTCGCACACCAGCCAGTCATCAGTCACGAGTATATCACCTTTTCTCATTCTTCCACTACATTCGTCATTCATGGAAAACAAATTAAAAATCAAAGGGCCTATGCGAGCATCAAAACTGTTTTTGTTTTTACCGATGCCTGTCTATTCATAAAAAGCAGAAGATAGTACATATCATTAATCACAATGGTTAACCTATGCAAATTAATAGGAAAACATTTCAGGCTTATTAATAGGATTACATTTAGCCGAATTGGGTACACAAATGGTGTGGGGAAAAGTCAAAGAAAGGAAAACACAACCAGGTTCTAATCTAATCAACTATATTTAAATGATAGGAGCACACCCTTGTGTCGCTCCCTCTGAACTATCCACAGTCTCCCTGTAACTATAAATCCATAGCATTTGCAGTACAATAAAATATATCTAAATTCATGGCTCTTTACGAACTCTTGAACAATCCAAACATGACAATTTAATTCACACAGTAACATTAATTTAGTTGATTCACGTTTTCATCTGTCTTCACACCTCTCCTGGCGTCAGTGACCCCAGGACTTCCATGGGAACGCCAGCCAGTCAGGAGTATTATCACCGTCTCATCATTCTACTACAGTAGTCATTTATGGAAAACACATGAAAAATCAAAGGGCCTGTCACGCCAAAAAAGGTATTTGGGTTTCCAGGACTTCACTGCCGAAACATTGCAAAGAATACTGTCCAAAGATGCTTTTCTTTCTCAGGCCCCAGAGCCTGTTTTGTTTTTGTTTATTTGTATTTTGTTAATTATTTGATATACAGCCAGGGCAGTGGGTGGTGGCATGCACCTGTGGCATTTGTTTGCAGACCGCCATAGTATCAAAGAAGAAGACCCCGTATGTAGTCTGACATAAACGTTATAAGAAGAAGAAGACATGTTTTTTTTTTCTTTACCTTTATATAACAAAATATTGTTAAATAGGAATAAATAATTTAAGCTGTTTTTAGATTGATATTGTTAGCTTCTGTAACGTTACTTATTTACTTACATCAGCCTGCCTAGTCAGCTAGCTAGCCATACAGTTTTGTTTCGCTAATGTTAGCTAGCTAGCTAACGTAAATGCTATTGTAGTTTTCTGTTTGTATGTAGCTTGCACTTCAATGGCATCCCTCTAGGAGATGTTATTTTATCTTTACAACCAGGCAAAGTACTATGAAGGCACCACTGATCTCGACAAGAGGCGCAACATTTGTTAGGGGGCAGAAATGCACTATTCAGGGTAACGTTAAGCAGTTAACTTCTATTGCATAACTGGAAGGATTTAGCTATGAACAACCATTTTTCAACAACCATTTTCCATCTAGGTAGTTGGTCATCTAGAAGGTGCTAGTTCTACATTTAGTTATATGTCTGTCATATTGAGGTATCTAGCTATAAGTTAACACTGATCAATCAGATGGATAGGTCTAAGCAATTATGGTCATTCCAAATGCCCTTAACTAGGTGTCTTTGCTAGACAGACACAGACAGAGAGAGAGGGGGGTGGGGGGAGAGGGAGAAAGAAAGGATGAAAGTGAGAGTGAAAGAGAGAGTTGGGAAGAGAGTGAAAGACAGAGAGAGATGGGGGAGAGAGAGAAACAGAGAAAGACAGTTGTGCAAAATTACTTAGACTTTAGTATTTCAACAACTCTTGTCTTCAAACTTGTTAGGCAATTTACATTTACATTTACATCATTTAGCAGACGCTCTTATCCAGAGCGACTTACAAATTGGTGCATTCAATTTATGATAGCCAGTGGGACAACCACCACATGTACCTACTGGGGAAGGATGGCCAGCCACACAGGAGGGTGATTTTGACTGAGGAGGAGGCCATGCTGACTCCATTTCGGAGTGAAGTGCATGATTGCCAAATCAACATACGTTTCTTTTGGCATGGGATTGTCAAGGATGTGGACAGCTGGGCAAGTGAAATAACCTTTTGTTTATCGATCACATTCAATTATATCTGAAATTATTATGATTTCAATGAATGTCATATCAGAGAGCACACAATGTTTCAATTTGTCACCTTGTGCTTAAAAACAATATTGTTTTTGTTTAACCCCGATGCCTGTTTATTCATAATAAGCAGATGATAGTAAATATAAAAAAATATATCATTAATCGCAATGGTTAGCCTATGCAAATTAATAGGAAAACATTAAAAGCTATTTAGTAGGACTACATTTAGCCTAATTGGGAACAAATATAACGTGGGGAAAAGTCAAAGGATCCTAGTCAAGCTATTGTTTGTCAAATCCAGAGTAAATGTAGCCCTTCATGTGTATCAAATCTGTAGGCAATTGTGGGCTAAATCAATGACAAATATAACTGAAATGTTCAGGCTTTATCATGATCAAAACAGGCTGGGGTGTATTCGGTACCGTTTAGTTTAAGGTTATGTGTAAGAACGCAACTGCACTGAAATGAATAGCCTGATTCAATGCGATTCTCCTGAATAAAAAAGTGTTTATCTGTTCAAATGTTTGGTCTATGGATAGACCCATACCTATGCTATATTGTTTTGGTATTTTGCTGTAGGCATAGCCTACCACTAATATTCTAAATTGCGGAGCATTTAATAAAGCACCATATTTTCCTGTGATAGTGACACTTGCTTTTCATTTAAAAGTGAATGTTTTCATTAGCCTATAGGTCTACCAAGAAACCATATTGAGGCTGAGCAAGACTTTCGATAGGCTAGTAGACTATGCGGAAATAATCGTGGAGTTAATCATTGTTATAGCCTAGATCGCTTTACATAATCTGGACAGTTTTTTCTAAGGCTAAGCAAACAAGGGGGAGCATATGCTTTTTGCCCGTCTCTATAACAAGGGTAAGGCCTATATCCTCACATACCCCCTCAATTCGAGCCCTGCTTTTAACCATAAGACATCTCCACAGAAATGTATAGCTTAAGGATTGCATGGTGACAGTGATTGTGTCTGTTAAACCGGTAAACTGGGAACTCTGGGGGAAAAATGAGGTCAAATCATGACGTCAGTGCTTTTCAGGTCAGAGAAAGATGCCAGAGTTTCTGAATTGGAATTCCAAGTTGGATGACCGTTCAAAACTATTTTTCCTAGTCTGAGCTCGTTTTTTCCCCGAGTTCCCAGTTGTCTTCAGCGCACTGAAGTCGGAAGTCAGAGATTGCCGAGTCCCAAGTTGTTTTGAATTCGCCACTAGACCTAGGCTACCTCTTATTTCTGAGTAGGGCTACCTCCAACAAAGAAGCCCTTGTGTCTGTATTGATGTGAGAAATAGGCATATCTACACAGTAATCATGGCTGGCTGCGATATCAACTAGCCTAATAGTTTTTGTATTGAGGTGATATGCCTATTTTAGCTAAATCGACAAATTAAATTGATTAGATTACTCTGGCAATTAAAAATATATACAAAATCATGTACATGTAGACGTCATGTAGACATTTGTAAGGCGGTCATGGTGAGAGCTTTAATATTAAACTAAACAGACACTTATACTAACACGTGACGCGTAACACATGTAGACATTTTTAAGGTGTTCGTGGTAAGATCTTCCATAATAAACTTAAAAGCAAACTGACACGTGATGTGTCAGTGTCACGTTACACGACGTGAACACTACGTCTACATGACGTGTACGTGTCACATGACATGAACGTGATGTGAACTGTCTCCATTGACAGTCCATGTTAATTCATGGCGGTATTTTATGGCGCAAGGAAGACGTTAGGTGACTTGGTGAGAGATATCATTAGCTTCATGAGGCTTCATTCTGGCACTTATCACCCCCCATAGGTAGAGACAGCCACAAGGTGGTACATTGCATAGGCTTAATTCTGGCACTTATTACCCCCCATAGTTACTCACCAAATATGGAGTTTCGCTGTGCAAATATCATCATTTACTTCAGTCACGCCTGGTATGTACTTCCAACAAAGGTCTGAATAAAAATCTACAAGTAACCGAATAAAGGTATTGTAATGTCATATAAAAACACTGAACTATTGCATTTGAAAATATTTATATCAGCCACTCTTTAACATTATTCACTTGCACTGTGCAGAGTCCTTTGGCGAGTTGTTAGTGTGGGAAGTTATTGTAATCAATCATCTTAATACTTTAATATGGTCAATCGATTCCAGCTCATCTGATGCTCATTTCATTCCGCCACAATCCCAGCATTCTGCTGTCTACTATTGGTCTGTGCTATCCGGGATCCTTGGGATGTGCCCACCCCATTGAAGTTTACATTTAAAATGGTTAGGGTAAGGTAATGGTTAAGGTTAGGGTAGGGGGTTTAGGGTGGGGACATCCCAAGGATACCAGATAGTAGGCTGGAGGGAGGAGGAGGTCAGTGGATGGAGTAGGCAGGTTGGTGTTTGGAAGGGCAAATGGGATCAGTTTCAGGAGCTGAGTGAGCAGGTGATGGCTAGGGTGGATAAGAGCGGGGATGGGGATAGTATGAATAACTGGGTGAGAACAGCTTTAGTGGGGGCAGGTACTGAGGCTATACCTAAGAGTTCAGGGAGGAGGAGGAAAGCAGTCCCATGGTGGGTGGAGGAGTGTGGGGCAATGGTGAGGAGTAGGAACAGGGCATTTAGAGTACTGAAAAGGATGCATAACTTCCAACATCTGATTCAGTATAAGCAGGCCCAGGCCCTGGTGAGGAGAACTATCCATCAGGCAAAGAGGTCATGTTGGCGTCGGTTCTGTGACACAATTGGAAGGGCGACACCTGTGGGAGAAGAATGGGGGATGATTAAGAGGATGAGTGGGGTCAGAAGGGAGTGAGATTACCCTGGAGTGCTGGATAGGAGGGAGGATGTAAACGATGCATTGAATGCACCATTTGCCATGGCAGAGATGAAAAGGGCAATAGGTAAGGCACCGTTAACTTCACCTGGGAAAGATGAGGTGTGCTATGTTATGTTGGCCCATCTTAGTGATAAGGCACTGGATAAGGTATTGGTGTTGTGCATCAGAGTGTGGGAGGAGGAGAAACTACCAGGCAGCTGGAAGGAGGCAGTAGTGGTACCAATCCGGAAGCCAGGGAAGAACCGAACGAGGCCAACAAGCTATCGGCCAATAGATTTAACATCACATGTATGTAAGATTATGGAACTTATTATTACTGAGAGGCTAATTTACTTCCGGGAGAGCAGGGGTCTGGTATCGCCACATCAGAGTGGGTTCAGGAAGGGTAGGGGAACTATGGACCCAGTGCTCTGCTTAGAAGCAGAGGTCAGGAAGGCTCAGGTGAACAAGGAGACTGTTGTAGCTGTCTTTTTTGAGGTGGAGAAGGCATATGATATGATGTGGAAGGAGGGGTTGTTAATCAAGCTTGATATTATGGGGGTAGGAGGAATAACGTACAACTGGATAAAGGATTTCCTGTTTGGAAGGTCTATCCAGGTGAGGGTGGGGAAGACTCTATCAGGCAGCTACCTGGTGGATAACGGTACACCGCAGGGGAGCATGATTAGTCCTCTGTTGTTCTCAATCATGATCAATTATGTTTACTCTCAGTTATGGCCGGATATTGGGAGGTCGTTATTTGCAGATGATGGGGCTTTATGGAAGAGGGGAAGAAATGTGCCATACATAGTCAGGGAGATACAGGAAGCAATTGATGAGGTAGAGCGGTGGGCATTAATGTGGTGATTCAGGTTCTCTGTAGAGAACTCAGACAGTGTTCTTTACCAGGAGGAAGGTGGGAGATGAGGTATGCTTGAGGTTATATGGAAGAAACTTGGAGACGGTGGGGTCCTTCAGGTTCTTTGGGGTATACTTTGACACTAGACTGACCTGGGCAGAACACAATAAAAGAGTGGTGGGAAAGTGTAAGTAGGTGCTAAATGTGATGCGCTGTCTGACGGGGAAGGAGTGGGGGGCTGGGCGTTCCTCACTGAGGACCATGTATATTGCATTGATTTGATCTGTAATAGACTATGGCAGTATAGCGTATGGTTCGGCAGCCCAGACCTCATTGGAAAGGCTAGATGTCATACATCTACAATATTTAGTAGTCCAACTGTAGCTATTCCTTTAAATCCACCATGGCTACTCCCGCCTCCAGTAGTTGATCTAGAAGTGTTGGATAGACTACAGAAAGATACGGAGGGTGTTGATCCATCTGATTTGTTTAATAGATGTCTGGATACTGTTTATCAGGATTTTGTGGCCAGTTACACAGATGGTTCCATAGATCCAAGGACAGGGCGCACTGGGTCAGCATTTGTAGTGCAGGAATGTGGGGTGGCAGTCAGGAAACGTATTCCAGATCATCTGGCTGTATATACAGCGGAGCTGATGCCATACTGTTGGCCTTGCAGTGGGTGGAGGAAGTCAAGCCAGACAGAGTAGTTATTTGCTCTGATTCATGTGCAGTGATGATGAGTCTGCAGTCCTTTAGCTCACGTAGCAGACAAGACCTGCTTTATGAGGTACTACAAACCCATTGCAGGATTAGACAGATGGTTACACAGATAAGATTTACTTGGGTCCCAGCCCATGTGGGGGTGGAGGGGAACGAGGCAGTTAATGTACTGGCTAAACAAGCACTTAGTAGTGGGGATGTTGATGTTGTAGTTTCAATGAGCAAGGCAGAGGCAAAAAGCCTGATATGGACTGTGATGGTGCAGAGATGGCAGGAGCAGTGGAATAGAGATACTACTGCCTCTGTAGCTCAGCTGGTAGAGCACGGCGCTTGTAACGCCAAGGTAGTGGGTTTGATCCCTGGGACCACCCATACACAAAAAAATTTATGCACGCATGACTGTAAGTCGCTTTAGATAAAAGCGTCTGCTAAATGGCATATTATTAAGATCATGCATTTATTTCAAGTACAGAGGAAAGTCGGGGAGGGGAGGAGGCTATTTTTACAAGATTAAGGGTGGACACAGCCGGTTGAACAAGACATTAAATGTGATAGGAAAGCATCCAACAGGAAAGTGATTATTGCCAGAAAACAGAGACCGTGGAGCATGTACTGCTACAGTGTGGGCAGTATCAGAGGGAACGAGAGAGGCTGAGATCTAGTATGAGGGAGAAGGGGATACAGGAAATTAGTTTAAAGAGTATATTGAGTAGAACTTAATTAGATATAGTCTCAAATATGTTATATTTTTTAAGAGGAACAGGGCTGGCAGGTAAGATTTAGTTTCTCCCTGTTTCTGGCCCACACTCCAGTACAGTAGGTGGCGGTAATGCACCATAACGTTGGCTGCCAACCGCGGATAAACCCCACCTAAGAAGAAGATACCGCATAGCACTGACCGTCTACTATTTGCTCATGCTCTAAATCAATTTCCGGTTCCTTTCCTCCAGCGCCAACTGCTGCGTGGTTTTGTTAAGCACACACACTTGTATTTAGCAGCTGTTTTGTACGAGATTTAACATATCCTAACATCATGTCGTACCCAGCCGAAGAAACCGAAGAAGTACGTAGCTAGCTAAGTACCTATTTTATTTTCAACAGTTTATCTAGGGATCATAGTGTGGTCCAACACGGGAACGTAACGCTAGGTAACGTTAGCGACATAACGTTAGCTAGCTAAATTAGCTAGCTAGGCAGTTGATTTTATGCTGTTTTGTTCGGATACTCACATCACTTTTGCCTTTCGTGTGCGAAGTAGTGTTTGTTATGAATTAACTTTACATAACCAACTAGCTATCCAGTTGGCGAAAACCGAACCAGAATCTGGGTTTACAGGAGACGTATTCTGACCTACTAACGTTACAAACCCAGATTATGGTTAAGCGAAAACCACCTATTTTACCTTGGCGGCTAAATAAGTACCGTTAGTTAACGTTAGCTAGCGCATAATGGTGAAGTGATGCTTTTTTGTCTGCTTGGCTTCTGAGTGATTATGATATCAGAAAATATTTGCTGTTATCACAAATTCAGTAGCTTGCAGAAGAATAATAGCAGAAACGTTTCCCCATCATTAGTTATTTAGCTAACTGTAGCTCAGCTGGTAGAGCACGGCGCTTGTAACGCCAAGGTAGTGGGTTCGATCCCCGGGACCACCCATACACAAAAATGTATGCACGCATGACTGTAAGTCGCTTTGGATAAAAGCTTCTGCTAAATGGCATATTATTATTATTATTATTATCTGTTTTAGATAGACACCGGCTTCACCAACTAGGATTTGGACTGTTGTTGATGACAGATCGCTAGCTAAAGAGGAAGACCTCAATATATGTCATGTTGACCATCATTTACATCCTTCTCAATCTCTCCACAGTATGACCCTTATTCCTACACAAATGACGATTATCTCCATACTGGTGAGTGTGTAGTTTCATCTAGATATTTAAGTGCATAAACTTGAAACTTAAATGTCAGGCATGTGTTTGGTGTGTAATCACTATATTCCCTCCCTCCCTTTGTCACAGTTGTACCACAAAGTAGACACCATAAAAATATAATCACGTCAATGATTCTATTTCTATGGTAGACACTTACTGCACACTATCCCACCATTACCACTTCAGTGCAACACTATTCCTCAAGAACGGCAGTACCTCACCCATCCTCAATCTTCTTACAGGTGACCCTAAAGCCGACCTGGCCTACGAGCGCCAGTACGAGCAGCAGACCTACCACGTCATCCCCGAGGTGATCAAAAACTTCCTGCAGTACTTCCACAAGACCATCTCGGACCTCATCGACCAGAAGGTGTACGAGCTGCAGGCCAACCGTGTGTCGAGTGAGAGCATCGAGCAGAAGATTTATGAAATTCAAGATGTCTACGAGAACAGGTACCCCCCCACACACACACACACACACTCTTTTCTGTAGTTATATCTTAACATTAAAACATGTTTTCATCTTACACATTCTCCTCTCTCCTCAGCTGGAACAAACTGACTGACCGCTTCTTCAAGACGTCTCCCTGGCCAGAGGCTGAGGCCATCGCTTCCCTCGTCGGAAACGGTGAGTGTGTCAGTGTACTGCTGTTTTCCTCCAGTTTGGGCACAAGCCTGTTCAGATGATAGTGGTAGTAGTATAAAATAACATTATTATCCCTCCGGGGTAAATTGGTTTTTCAGCAGAATCATATCCAAAAACAACAAAAGACATCACACAAGAAATAGGACACAATATACGCAACATAACATGTACCACACATTGATTGCACATAGTTGTGAGAGTGAGAAATGTGCAAGGTATTATAGTGTAAATTGCTAGGTAGTGTGGAGTGCAGTAGTAACATATCTGTTTCAAAAAAGTTATGGCAGCAGGAGTGAATGAATGACTTTCTTTATTTGTTGTTTTGCAACGGTGGGCAGAGAAACGTGGACCTAATGGTAGGAGTTTAAACTGTAAACAGGATATCTAGTGTCCTTTAGGGGGTTCTCTGCTTTTTCAGAGCCCTTTGCTTATAGAGTGGCAACCATGTGGTTCACAAACTAGTTTGCCTCCTCTGTTCTTGTTGTTGCTCTTCTCCATTTTTAAATGATGAAGTGGGAAGAAAGCAGATAATCTTGTGTCGTTAATAATTCAGATGCTGTGTTCCTGATCCTGTATAAGGAGTTGTACTACAGACACATCTATGCCAAAGTCAGCGTGAGTATCTATCCATCCTGCCACAGAACCATTGTTTAATCCCGATCAGCTTTAAAATGGAAATCTGACATCACCTGTCCTGGATGGATTCAAGCCAATGGAGGCATAATGCACAGGCAATAATAATGTCACTGCTTAGTGGAGTTTTTACTTAAATAATGCTATTTTGTATTATTTTACCATCAGGGAGGACCTACTCTCGACCAAAGATTTGAGTCTTACTACAATTACTGCAACCTCTTCAACTACATTCTAAGTAAGTCTGAGTACTAAAGATCTGTTGCCTTAATATATTTTCATATATATGTTGCCTTTGGACTTTTTCTATGTCTCACTAATCAGGTATATATTGTGTTGTATACAGATGCAGATGGACCTGCCCCCCTGGAGCTGCCCAACCAGTGGCTCTGGGACATTATTGATGAGTTCATTTATCAGGTAAATGAACATAGTTTGATATGTCGCTTGTGTATTTTTGTTTTTCAGCTTCAAAGTGTAATTTTCTGACCATTTCTTCATCATACTATATGGCATTCATTTGGTACCCCTCTGTCTTCAAGGTGCTAAGGCACATGGACTTGTGACTACATTAAAATAAGAAGTAAACAAGTTCCCTCTTGTTCCCCTAACCAGTTCCAGTCGTTCAGCCAGTATCGCTGCAAGACAGCCAAGAAGTCTGAGGAGGAGATTGAGTTCCTTAGGAACAACCCCAAGATCTGGAACGTCCACAGTGTTCTGAACGTGCTCCACTCGCTGGTGGACAAAAGCAACATCAACCGCCAGCTGGAGGTCTATACCAGTGGAGGTAAAGAAAGATGATACAGCTGTAGATGCATTGAATCTGTATTGATATGTTGCATATCGTTATAACGATATATAATTTGTAGTAATATATTATGACATATCATTGCAACGATATGTCATTTGTAGTGAAATATTGTTAAAACGATATATAATTTGTATCAATATATTGTTAAAAATCATTACAACAATATATCTTTAATACAGACAGCGCATTATCCTACACCACAGATTACCCTCAAATTCTTGTCAGTGATCAACACTGAATGGTTGAGGAAGTCCATGGTTCGTGTGCGACAGCTCTAACGGGTTGCGCGTTGTTGCAGGCGATCCAGAGAGTGTGGCTGGGGAGTATGGCCGTCACTCCCTGTATAAGATGCTGGGATACTTCAGCCTGGTGGGGCTGCTGAGGCTGCACTCTCTGTTGGGGGACTACTACCAGGCCATCAAAGTTCTGGAGAACATCGAGCTCAACAAGAAGGTACACTTGCCACTGTGTAGTAAGACTGTCTGTGTATATACAGTACAGCTGAAGACTTGTATCTATCTCTATATCTATCCCCAAATGCCCGCTCTGATATTTACAGACCTACAAATTAAGGAGAGTGCATTTGAACTGTTGAGACCCCTCTTATCTATATTTGTACTCCATATAACACTCATTCCATATTTATCTCCAATTTATTCCTTATTTTTTGTAACCCAGTCACCTTCCTTTACTTTCTTTAATCTCTCTTACAGAGTATGTACTCTCGTGTGCCCGAGTGCCAGATCACCACCTACTACTATGTGGGCTTTGCCTACCTGATGATGAGGAGGTACCAGGACGCCATCCGTGTGTTCGCCAACATCCTCCTCTACATCCAGAGGACCAGGAACATGTTCCAGAGGTCCACCTACAAATATGAGATGGTCAGTGGCCAGTGTTTCCCCTATATGCATTTAGTAGCAGCGCAACGCTGCTGTTAAATCGTGGCCGTCGAATCCCAAAAAACTATGTAATCATTAGAAATACAAAAAATAAATCGTATCGGTAACCGTTTCCAGTGTAAACTTAAACGACTAAAACCAGATATGCTAAAAGTGGGCAAAGCTGTCATCAAGGCAAAGGGTGGCTACTTTGAAGAATCACAAATATAAAAATATATTTTGATTTGTTTAACACTTTTTTGGTTACTACATGATTCCATATGTGTTATTTCATAGTTTTGATGTCTTCACTATTATTCTACAATGTAGAAAATAGTAAAAATAAAGAAAAACCCTTGAATGAGTAGGTGTGTACAAACTTTTGACTGGTATGTATATGTATTCATTTTTATAATCTTTGAGAACCAACAATCACCAAATTAAAAGTTAGACAGTCAGGGGGAATTAAAAATTCCAAAAACAATGAATTTAGCAGTATAGATTTTATGTTTGAGCAAAATAACACATTAGCCATGGCAAAATGCATAGAATTGCAGGAAATTGACTTTAAAACTGCAACATTTTCTCTCAGCTGCATGGCAAAATGTGTAGAATTGCAGGAAATTGGCTTAAAAATGCAATAATTTCTCTACACTGCCAAGATGGGGTTCTGTAAAATGTTTACTGAAATTCAGGCGCGCCGACGGGCCGACCGCGCCCCCTGCAACGCCCACCACCTAAGCCCCTTTTTTATCCAGAAAAAACCCTGTAATTGGCCTACAGCGAACACCATAGGCCACTGTAGACACAGAACTCAATAGCTATTTTAATATGAACATTTTATGGGTTGCATTTGATCCATTGCTTTTACTGGTAGGTCACTAATAGGCTGAAATAGCCTCAGTAGCCTACTTGGCCACTGTCTAAAACTGCAACTTGAAGCGAACACAGCCTCGGTGTTCAATGTAAACGCATGCAGGAAGTTGCACAGAATGCTCACAATGTTCAATTTCCGCTCACAAGAGTTTAAATTTGCTCAGTGCCCCAAACATTTTGGGGGAACATTGGTCAGTGGGCCTAACCTGTAATAACTATGGATAGCTAGATTACTAATTGTTATGATTGACATCTCCCTCTCAGAGCTGGGTCATGATCATAAGGGCACATCATGGAAAAGTAGTCAAATGAACACGACCCTGGTGATCGGTTGAGTCACTTCTTCCTGCTCCTCCAGATCAACAAGCAGAACGAGCAGATGCACGGGCTGCTGGCCATCGCCCTGACCATGTACCCCATGCGCATCGACGAGAGCATCCACACCCAGCTCAGGGAGAAGTACGGAGACAAAATGCTTCGCATGCAGAAGGGGTGAGCAAGAGAGAAAGACGCTGGGGACAGAGACCGTTATAGGCCCAATCCCAAATCAACCCCTAGACCCTACTTGGAGATCTGACACGATTTGAATGTTCTAAGCCAGTGGTTCCCAACCGTTGTGCTGCGGCACACTGGTGTGCCTTGAGGAACTCTCAGGTGTGCGGCGAAAGTTGGGAACCACAGGTCTAAGCAATATGGTGAAACTTCCACCTGGCTTATCAGAGGGCAAGGTAGAGCTATAACCATATTGCTTACACCTGTAAGGGTCTAGGGTTTGATTTTGAATTTGGCCATAGTTAGTGTTTGAGACCTGACTGACATGACTGTGCGTCCGTCCCCCACCCACCAGAGACCTGCAGGTGTTTGAGGAGCTCTTCAGCTTCGCCTGTCCCAAGTTCCTGTCCCCGGTGGTGCCCAACTACGACAACGTGCACCCCAACTACCACAAGGAGCCCTTCCAGCAGCAGCTCAAGGTGTTCGCCGAGGAGGTGCAGCAACAGGCCCAGCTCTCCACCATCCGCAGGTAATGCGCTATCTTTGTGAGAGTCGGATGAGCTGCTACACTCATATCTCTGTTAGGGGCCATGATGTTGATTAGGGTTGACTTTAGTAGGGTACACTGTAGCAACAAAAAAAAAGTGTCTTATTGGACAGATAAAATAAGATTAGCTTTAATGTCCCCAAAGGGAATTTGTATTGGAAATTCAAGTTCAGGACCTCCCTGTTTCTAAATGTTTCTCCCTGCTGAACACGACCCAGCTCTCTAGCATTGCTCTCTAACATGCTTCCTTGGTTCCCTCCCTCTAAACTCTCCCTGCTCCATCTCTCTCCGGTCCAGTTTCCTGAAGCTCTACACCACCATGCCCGTGGCCAAGCTGGCAGGCTTCCTTGACATGACAGAGCAGGAGTTCCGCATCCAGCTGCTGGTTTTCAAACACAAGATGAAGAATCTGGTGTGGACCAGCGGCATCTCTGCCTTGGACGGAGAGTTCCAGTCCGCCTCTGAGGTCGACTTCTACATCGACAAGGTGTGTGTGTGAGAGACGTGTCGTTACAGAGACTACTCGCGTCATTTTAGATACTGTTTAATGTAGTAACTATTGAATTAACTCTTTAGAAATAATGTAGTGAAGTAACCGGTTATGTGCCTGCAGGATATGATCCACATCGCAGACACCAAGGTAGCCCGCCGCTATGGAGACTTCTTCATCAGACAGATCCACAAGTTTGAGGAGGTGAGAAATGCTACATTTTCAAATGACTTTACAGCAGTATTTTCATGTAGCAACAGTCTTTGTTTACCTTTGTCGTAATATTTCTGTTACATTGCAGACATTTGCTTCTGTATTTTTTTATTTTTTATAAACCTTCCCTATCAGAGAATAGAAAACTTAAAGGCTCCTTTATGCTATTAGATTTGGTTTAACTTAAGATACGTTTCTACTTCTGTGTGTTATTCGCCATGCAGTTGAACAGAACGCTGAAGAAGATGGCTATGAGTGGAGCCAGCACCACTGCCGCCACCACCACAACCACCCGGGCCACATGAGTCAGAACTCTGACTTACAACCTCTACATGTGGCCTACCTGGCTCTATCTATTCCATGGCTCTCTTGGATCCACCAAGAGAACAATCAATAATGCTTTTTTTGAAAACAAAAGATGAAGTGGTGTTTTGTTGGGGTGCACATTGAGTCATCGTGCAAATATCTATTATCAAACAGGTTGTACTGTGATTATAGTACTTTTTGCAAATAGTACTGTAGTTAAATCAGAACCACTAGATGGCAACATTTAGCTACCATGTCCAACGTATACATTACTCTTTACCGTAAAAGCACCATCAGTTATAGGACTTCAGAGTTTTGTATTATAATGTATGTTATTAGGTGAACTACTGATATTAGATAACAAATGTCAACTATAAAATGTCATCCAATATCATGAGCTGTGTATTGAGAAATTGTCAGCCTTCATGTATTTACAGACACTAAATTATTCTGCCGCTCTGTCGTTCGCTACATACTTTAGTCTGAGACTGCCATCATTGAAGTCGTTTGTGGTGACGAGGGGCCTTGTACAAAACAAAGTCATCAGCGATTGGATCATCACTAACCAATCAGAGGATCAAAGCCAATGACGAATTTTCAACCCGCTTCTTTACCCACGTGTTCTGGCTCTGGCCCAACCCATCGGTTTCTGGACCAATCAGATGGCCCTGAATGTGTTTGCATTCGGTGAAGGGTCAGGGAAGTACTCAGATCCAGACTTGTGGAGAAGAAACTAACGTCTGTGGGTGTGGCGTAGAGTTTGGCCGGAGCAAGGAGTCTGGGTAGTCAGGTCAACTTCATCAAGATAGTCAGTGACCGCTCAATCAGTAGACACATCAGCATAGTGTGTAGTTTTACAGTAGAATTAGTTACCAGCTCCTCCTCAGTGTCCTGCCTCTGTGCTTCAATAAATAGTGAGAGGAATTGGCTACACACTCCTATCAACCCACTGACCCCGAGGCGGAGGCAGTTGCATATTTATTTTTTTATCACAGATCATCCACCAACAACATTTCTCAACACGTTTCTCAGGGCTGGTGAGAATAAAGACAAATTAAAACGTTCAAAATTGGAGTATAAAAATAAATCATGCTAAACACTCAGGTTGGGAAACAGTTGCTACACAAAAGGAAAACAGACAAATGTCTCCAAAGTACAATGTAGTACACATATTCCAAACATCCATTTTGGCTTTACCCATTTTGGTAAAGCAGCATTTTTTTCTTCCAAAATATTTTCTCGAAGGGCCATATTTTTTTAATTTATTTTTTTACCATGAACTCTGGTGGCAGTGTCAAGTATTTTTTGTGGGGCAGCATGCCCTCTTATGTTACCCACAATTTTTCATTTTTTTTTTATATACTCCCACCCTTACCCCTCCTAGCAATCCAAGGGCTGAAGAATCGGGGTATAGTGCGATTGAAATTTAAAGGCATTGTTTCAGCATTCTCGGAGACTGCATTCACGGTAAACACTACATATATTGGCTCAATCGGAAATTACCTTTATATTTCAATCTTGCTATACCACAGATCTTCAGTGCTACGGATTGACTATCCCGAATATGAGGCATTGTTCCACTCTTACTCAGTCCCAATTATTATTTTCATTGTCATATTGCTCATGTAACTTGAGAAGTGAAGAACTGTATTGAATGCGCTCGCTGTGGCTCTGTCTATAAGTCTTCTCTTTTTATTATGGGTTCATCCAGTCCTAGAGCTGCTCTGCTGGGCCACTAGCCTGGCATGCGAAACGGATTTCACTGTTACAGTGGCGAGCTCAGCGTTCAGTCTGGTTTAACCAGGCTACTGGCCCACTATAGCAGAGTGGGTTTATTTATTAACCCCCTGCATACTGAAATGGTCTCTTGTGCGAATATCCAGACAAAGCCTCCTCTTCAGAACGTTCTTCATCTGTGCTCCTCAATGATGACATCATTAAACATAGAAGTCCTTCTGTAGTCAAATATCATGACCTATGTCTGTTGGTGTCCAGTTAGGTCTCTAAATTCAGGATACCCAAGATTCCCCATTCATTGGGAGATAGAACAGAAGTCCTCTCAACTCAAATAATGTCCTTATCGATCTTCCCTTCCTCACCCAATCAGTGCTCATCCCTTACCTCTTTTACAGTAAAAAAATTTTTTACATGACATAGAAATGTAACTATTTTATACAGTCCATTTGGTGGCCGTTCGCTGGTCTGTGGCTTTTTTTGTGTGTGAGAGTGTGTGCAACCTAGGACGTAACTCCAGAAGGACACTGTGTACTTCTGTCTGACAGTGTGGTGGGACAGTCACATGACAAGGTCTAGGCTGTTATTGGACAGATCTGTCCTTATAAAAACCAGTCTTGGCCTCTCTCCACCTTGATCTTAGAATGACTGTAGGAGACCAAATGGTGTCCTGCAAGAGATGTCCCAGACAAGCTGGCCATAGTGTCCTCTTTATCACCATGTTTAATCTTAGTAGTCTTTCAATTTGGTCTGCAATTCTATGTTCCAGGTCTTCGATTGACACGTAGGCCTTTGCATTTGGTCCACCATCAGACATTAAACCAAATTAAAATCCATCTTTGAAAGGATCCCTCACACATGCCATCCATGGCTCACAAAGATCTTCACTGGCATTTGAAGTTCCCAGACTGCACACACTCCACCTCCTCCAACCCCTGGCCCTCTACCCACTTTCCCCAATCTCCCATGGCTGTATCCTGGTCAGTGTCTGACCTTCAGTTTTTGAGGGGAGGATAGGGGAGGAGGCAGGGGGACAGCAGTAGGACACTCCACTCAGTCGTGGCTCTTCTCAGACCAGCGAGGCCTCGGCTAGTCATAACTCTGTGATCTCCAGCTGACTCTCGGTCAGCGTGTCGGTATCCTTGTTGCGGTGCAGCGGTGTGGACTTGGCAGACTCGGTACGGGTGTTGCGCTCGGCGTACAGCCCGCCGTTGGTGACGTTCAGCGCCTCTGTGGAGCGTGCCAGGGCCCGCTGGTCATCCTCGGGCAGGCTGTTGAGGTCAGAGGTTAGGAGTGTGCCCGTGCTGCTGTGGACACCGTCGGGCCCCCTCATCTCAACGGGGAGCTTGTGTTTGAAGTGCAGCGTGCCCCAGCTGTCACCCATGCGCTCATCCTCGTCATCATCCAGGTCACTCTGGATCAGCTGGGAGAGGAATGAAGGGACATGAATGGATTTGGGGATAGGAGAAACATTTACCAAAGCAGTTGGCACCAATTGTCTCATCGAAAGTAAATAACATTGACATTCAGATGCAATATTGTGAAAAGGAGTGCAGCAGTCAGAAATGTGCCTGAAAGGAATTCTGAGGAGAAAAACAGCAGGTAGTTAGCACTAGCAGTGAGTTGCAACATCCTATCGAGCAGTAGCGTGGGCTGGCAGTGGCCTACAGGAGTTATGCAAGCAGAGTGAGAGGCAGTGAGAAGGGGAAGCGCCAGTGGAGGAAACAGAGTAGTGAGAGCGCACCCTCCATTAGCGGGGAACAGTACAGCACACAGCAGCAGGATTGGACCTGTTTTTTCTCATGTTCCACCTCTGTGACTGACGATTGGTCGCATTGGCTGGTCGACATGGTAACCACTCTGGCTGCAAATAGCTTTTTGAGCCTCGGGTAGTTGTCCAGAACCCCACTGAGCAGTGAGCCCTGATAGGACAGCAGTTAGGGTAAGTCACAGTCCATCAAAATGTACCATCCCAATATGTTTTAGAAAGCTGCACAGAACCTAAAAACCAATGGTTTAATATTAGTCCCCAACAAGAATGTGTGGAGTCTGCCACCTGAGAGGACACCTGTGTGTGTTCCTCACCTTAATGGGCCCCTCCCTCATGATCTGGCCCAGCTTGGCGACGTTGTCGTACTCCTGGATGGCTGCCCTCAGGTAGCGCTCATCCCCAGGCTTGGCCTGGGGCTCGCGGCCAAACGTTCCCTGCAGGGTGTAATGCAAACAAACACACACACTTTAGTTAAAGACTAACGCCTGGCTTCGAACATCACTGGGGATAGGAGAGACACAGAGATCCAGAGCTGACTTTGGTCGGGATTCAATCAAATGCGTACTGCACTACCGACAATGCACGCAATTTCCATGATGTTTGCAGAGATCGCATTCACGGTAAATGCTGCAGATGTCGGCTCAAGCATGAATGACCTTTTAAAGTCAAGTGCAGTGCGCTTGTCAACAGTGTGCCTTTGATTGAATCCCGGCCTGTGGGTCACTCGGAGGGCAAAGCCATGATGGCAAATTAGAGCTCATGTAAACCTGAGAGATTGTGGTTTCATCTTCCCTAGGGTGTTAGTAGCACAATACTGTAGCACAATCCTGTGTAGTGTGGTGTTCTGTGTGCTGTATAGTGGATATTCACAAGCCCCATGGTTGGGCACAGTACTTACTAACAAAGATAACTCGCTGTACTCATAGAAATTCATAAAGTTGGATAAATGAATATAAACATAGATGGCTGTACTCATAGAAATACATGAACATACGTAGATAGCTGTACTCACGTGAGTGCGAGCAGGACTGTTCCACAGGTCAGTGATCTCACTGAGGTTCTCCGGCAGGTCGTCTTCGTGCTCTGCCTGGGCAGCTAGCTCCAGGTTCCGACAGAACGGGTCCAGCCAAACAGGGTTGGCCCTGAGTGTCAACAACACAGTCTTAGCTATAACCACACACAGCTAACACTTCACCAGTCTTAGAAACTGTATACACAACTGTCAAACATTTAAGATCAGCACTACATGCATCTGTGAGCCTGCAAAAGGAATACGCCGCCACAGACATATCAACGACATGAGTGAAGTGCAACAAAGTAGGTTTTTAAACGTTTTAAAGATTTCTAAAATGCATTCACTCTGTAATCTAGATTGTCTCACCCCTCAAATGAGTATATATTGGTGTTGGGCATATCCAGGATGTCCATGAGACCTTGGTTCCCTGGAAGACAGACAGGTGAATTCTGAATCACACACACACACACACACAGTGCTAATAGTTTGCCACTTTCTGCTGTTAGGCTTGCAGGGACTGTCCACTCGGTGCTGTCTCTCACCTGTGGATCCTGCTACAATGGCTTTCAGCTTCCTCTTGTGTCTGTAGCGCAGAAAAACACACAGACAGGTGAGACGATCAACATGTTGACATAGCCAAGTCAAATTAGTGTCTCCTATCATAGCCAGTGTGAAGTAACACCATTACAAATTCCATTGAAATAAAAAATAAAAAGTAATTGACAATTGAGATGAACTGAAAGAACAATCATTACTTTGATACATAAGAGCATATTGTAAAATGAAGTGGTTTAGTATGAGTATGATTATTGGATTGTATAAATTAAAGTGGATTGGTATGCTATGTTTGTCAACTACAGCTCTTACACTGTGCGATAGTACCAGTTCGTGAAGATGAACAACATGGCCGCCAAGAAGAGCAACACAGCTAGGATAATGATGGCCATCTGTAGCGTTGTGAGGTCATCAGGTGCTCTCCTGCTGACGGCAGGCTGGACGTCCAGGATGTTGTAATTCCTGAACAGGTTCCTCAGCTGTTCCTTGTTCTCATCAATCATCTGAATCACCCTGTCAATCACAAGGCCAGGGAAGGAGAGACAATGGGCTTAGCACAGAGAGGAGTAGCCTTATACAGCATGATTTTAGTGTAGTAACAATGTAATGACATAGAAATATAATTACTAGACGGGACAAAGCCCCCTCAGACCACTGCAATTTGACCGGAAAATTAATGGGTACACTAAATATGGGAATGGGGAATGTCCGTTCTAGTAATTATATTTCTATAGGTAATAACATGATAATAAACTATACTGCCAGGTAGCAACTGACTTTTCCACATCCAGGATGCGGTTGGTCTGCTTGTTGACCACGTGTATGAGCACGTCTGTCTGGGCAAAGTTCACTCTGCCTTTCTTGTCCACGTGGAACTGAGCAGAAACCGAGGAGGAGATGACAAAGGGGGTTAGTGGGACATACACATTTCATACGTAATTGTATACACCCATCCCCCACCTACCTGCACATCGTCCGTGTTGACTATGGCTCTGGTGATGTTGGATAGCAGGTTGATAAACTCTTCTTGGAACTGTCGTACCCGCTCGGGTACCTCGTTGATGATGATCTTCACCCGCTGGTCGTCCCGCAGGATGTAGATGCCCACCATGGCGATGTCACTGTGGCCCGCCAGGTCCCGTGCCAATACCTCCACCATGAAGTAGCCCGGGTCGTAGGCCGTGAACAGGTCAAAGGTACGGATGATCCCATCTATCTCTCCTAAGGGTTATCAACAGGTTCAACGCCAATTCCATTGTGATTCACAGTTATCAATGGGGTTGAGGCCCATTCCTTTTCAATTCAGTCAATTTACAGTAGTAAATTCATTATCTGAATTTAAATGAAATTGATCCCAACCGTTGTTATAAAGGACTAATAAATCAAATCAAATTTTATTGGCCACATGCGCCGAATACAACAGGTGCAGACATTACAGTGAAATGCATACTTACAGCCCTTAACCAACAGTGCATTTATTTTTTATAAAAAAGTAAAATAAAACAACAACAAAAAAGAGTTGAGAAAAAAAGAGCTGAAGTAAAATAAAATAACAGTAGGGAGGCTATATATACAGGGGGGTACCGGTGCAGAGTCAATGTGCGGGGGCACCGGCTAGTTGAAGTAATATGTACATGTGGGTAGAGTTAAAGTGACTATACATAAATAATTAACAGAGTAGCAGCGTAAAAAGATGGGGTGGGGGTGGGGGGGCAGTGCAAATAGTCCAGGTAGCCATGATTAGCTGTTCAGGAGTCTTATGGCTTGGGGGTAGAAGCTGTTGAGAAGTCTTTTGGACCTAGACTTGGCACTCCGGTACCGCTTGCTGTGCGGTAGCAGAGAGAACAGTCTATGACTAGGGTGGCTGGAGTCTTTGACAATTTTGAGGGCCTTCCTCTGACACCGCCTGGTATAGAGGTCCTGGATGGCAGGAAGCTTGGCCCCAGTGATGTACTGGGCCGTAAGGAGACTTTTGAAGGGAGAGAGGGTTATCAACATGGTTGGGGCCAATTCCATTTAATTTCTGACAATATTTTTACCTTAATTGAAATGGAATTGATCCCAACCTTAGTTATCAATGAGCATAGTAGGGGCCAATTCTATTTCAATTCAATGAATTGCCTCAATTGTGAATTGAAATGGAATTGATCCCGACATTGGTTATCAAGGATTAACAAGGGATACTACACAAACACAGAGGAGATAATAGTCATGCTAGGCAAGTAGGCAGTGACTGACCTATGGTGAAGACGTTTCCTATGTCCTCAGAGTCATTGGACTGGAGTTGAATGTAGCGGATGGACAGGACATGGTACAGCACCAGGCTGTTGTTCCCTACGTCGTTGTCTATGGCCTGTACCCGGATCAGATCTGAACCCACTTTGGCATCAGCAGCCACACCTAAAAAGAGAAAGAGAGGGGGAAGGGGGGGGGGGGACACAAAGAGAGAGAATGAGAGAGAGAGAGAGTTAACTGGTTAGTGAGAGCAGCACAATATAATCAATTCACACACATAGACACACAAACCCCCACCCCAGTTTATGTACAGTACCTGCAGTGTACTCCAGCTTGGTGAAGCGTGGTGGCTGGTCGTTGATGTCCTCCAGGTAGATTCTGATCTCCTGCAGAGTGGGGTCATGGCTGGGGTCAAGGGCGCTACCCCGGGCTGACCTCTGATCCCTGGGAGGGACCCAATTCCTGTGGCTGGATGCCTTGACGATGATGGAGTACACTGAGATGTCCTCACGGTCCAGATCCTTCTTCACCTTCAGTATGCCCTCTGGGTTCAGGCCAAAGTTCCCCTCAGTATCTCCCCCTAAAGGGCAGGGGTGGAAATCAGTGTTACATCCATTCATAGAAGGGACAGCAACAGGCAGCAACCAAAAAGGTATTTCATTGTTCATTGCATTGTCCGGTATCAAATCAAATCAAATTTTATTTGTCACATGAGCCGAATACAACAGGTGTAGACCTTACAGTGAAATGCTTACTTACAAGCCCTTAACCAACAACGCAGTTTTCAGAAAAATAAGTGTTAAGGAAAAAACAGATGGGTAAAAAAATAAAAATAATAATTAAAGAGCAGGATTAAAATAACAGTAGCGAGTCTATATACAGAGGATACCGGTACCGAGTCAATGTGCAGGAGCACAGGTTATTCGAGGTAATAGAGGTAATATGTACATGTAGGTAGAGTTAAAGTGACTATGCATAGATAATAACAGAGAGTACCAGCAGCATAAAAGGGGTGGACAATGCAAATAGTCCAGGTAGCCATTTGATTAGCTGTTCAGGAGTCTTATGGCTTGGGGGTAGAAGCTGTTAAGAAGCCTTTTGGACCTAGACTTGGCGCTCCGGTACCGCTTGCCGTGCGGTAGCTGAGAGAACAGTCTATGACTAGGGTGGCTGGAATCTTTGACAATGTTTAGGGCCTTCCTCTGATACTGCCTGGTATAGAGGTCCTGGATGGCAGGAAGCTTGGCCCCAGTGTTGTACTGGGCCAAACGCACTACCCTCTGTAGTGCCTTCCGGTCGGAAGCCGAGCAGTTGCCGTACCAGGCAGTGATGCAACCAGTCAGGATGCTCTCGATGGTGCAGCTGTATAACTTTTTGAAGATCTGAGGACCCATGCCAAATCTTTTCAGTCTCCTGAGGGGGAATAGGCTTTGTCGTGCCCTCTTCACAACTGTCTTGGTGTGTTTGGACCATGATAGTTTGTTGGTGATGTGGACACCAAGGAACTTGAAGCTCTCAACTTGATATTTATATTGTGTACATTTACATTTTAGGCATTTAGCATTTAACTTGCTCCACTACAGCCCCGTCGAAGAGAATGGGGGCATGCTCGGTCCTCCTTTTCCTGTAGTCCACAATCATCTCCTTTTTCTTGATCACGTTGAGGGAGAGCTTGTTATCCTGGCACCACACGGGCCAGATCTCTGACCTCCTCCCTATAGGCTGTCTCGTCGTTGTCGGTGATCAGGCCTACCACTGTTGTGTCATCGGCAAACTTAATGATGGTGTTGGAGTCATGCCTGGCCATGCAGTCATGGGTGAACAGGGAGTACAGGAGGGGACTGAGCACGCACCCCTGAGGGGTCCCCGTGTTGAGGATCAGCGTGGCAGATGTGTTGTTACCTACCCTTACCACCTGGGGGCGGCCCGTCAGGAAGTCCAGGATCCAGTTGCAGAGGGAGGTGTTTAGTCCCAGGGTCATTAGCTTAGTGATGAGCTTTGAGGGCACTATGGTGTTACGCTGAGCTGTAGTCAATGAACAGCATTCTCACGTATGGCTGAATCAGTGTGTGTGTGTGCTTGTGTGCCTGTATGTGTGTGTGTCTGTGTGTGTCTATGTGTGTCTGTGGTGTTGTGTTGTCCTCTCGACAGACCTGCTATGAAGTAGTAGACTACAGCGTTCGAGCCTTCGTCTGCGTCCACAGCTCCTGTCACATTACCAACTACTGTCCCTGGAGTAGAGTGCTCTGCCACAGACAGAGTCTGGTACGGCAGGCTGCCTTGCTGAGAGTGAGCCAGACAGACAGACAGGCACGCACGCACACACACACACACACACACACACACACACACACACACACACAGATACATGAGCCAGACGTAAGACAAAATCGTCACACATGAAACAGACACATTACCCCCATTTATACCTGGTTCTAACATGCATCCTTTGTCCTGATCTTGTCCACATTCAGATTGTGCCCACATTTTCAGACAAGTATAGATGATTAAAAGACGTATTGTGATCTGATTGTGACCAGATCTTCCTGACCACCTCCGGAGGTAGTCAGGCACACATTGTGTCATGAAATGTTACAAGTGTAGATGGATCTGGACAGTGAAACCATTTACAGTGCCTTTAGAAAGTATTCATACCCCCTTGACTTATTCCACATTTTGTTGTGTTACAGCCTGAATTCAAAATGGATTAAATAGATATAAATATCTAATTTACATAA